GGCACCTTCTGACTGGTTTAGTAAAGAGCTCAATGGCCAATAGCTAGGCAGGAAGAGGCTAGGCGGGACTTCTGGCCACAGAGAGGACTCTGGGAAGAAGAAAGGCGGAGTCACCAGCCAGATGATGCAGAGGAAGCAGGATGGGCAGTATGGAGATGCCAGGGAAACACTGAAGAGGTCAGACATATGGTACAGCATAGAGGTAACCAAGCCACGTGAAAGAACATAGATTAATAAAAACAGGTTAATGAAAGTTATAAGCTAGTGGGACAAGCCTAAACTAATGACTAAGCTTCCATAATTAATAATAATAAGCCTCCATGTCATTATTTATGAACTGGTGGTCCAAATAAAAGTCTGACTACAAATAAATAAAATGAATTTTAGTAGATGTTTACTTTAAAACCTCAACTCAAGGTAGGTATGGTAGTGTATTACTGCAATCCCAGCACTCAGGGAGTAGAGACAGGAGGATCAGGAGTTCAAGGCCGTCTCCATTACATACAGAATTCAAAACCAGCCTAGGATTCGTGAGATCCCATCTCAAAGAAACAAAACACAGAGTTGACAAATTGGCTCAGCAGGTACAGGCCGTTACTTTGAAGCCTTGCAACTTGAGTTCAACTTACAGGACCCACACTGTGAGAGGGAAAACCAAACCCACAAGTTTGACCTCTGACCTCCATAGATGTGTTATGGAAAACATACACTCACATATGCACACACACACAATAAGTAAATAAATGTTATTAACATTTTAAAAAATGACAGGGTTGTTGAGATGGGTTAGTAGGTAAAGACCCTTACCTTATAAGGCCAGTGACCCAACTTTGATCCCACATAAAGCTGGAAAGAGAGAACTGACCCCACAATGTTGTCCTGTGACCTCCACACACATGCTGGCACCCACATACACATGTACACACATACATACACACAATAATGATAATTTCAGGGACTGGAGAAATGGCTCTGGATTAATAAAGCTTCCTGGTCTTCCAGAGGACGAGAATTCCCAGCACCCGCGTGGGGAGCCTCACAACTGCCTGTAATTCCAGCCCCAGTGGATCTGATACCTCCAGCCTTCTAGCAGGTACCTGCATGCACATGCACACACACGCGCACACACACACGCACGCACACACACACACACACATTTAAAAAATAATAAAAGTAACTGCTGTGTCGGATGGACAGAGGAACCGAGTTAACTCATAAAATTAAAGATTCTTTGCTTTTGCATTGGATCATGTCTCGGTGATTTTGGGGTTCAGAGTTTGGGCACAACAATCTTCACACCTGTATTTGTATACATACACACACAGAGGTGCACACAGACACACACACAGGCACAAATACTCACACACCACAGGTGCGAGTGCGTGCACACACACACACACACACACACACAGACTGTCTCTCACTTGCCTCTGTAAAGAGAATTTCAAGGTATTTATGAGACAAAGCAACAAGCTCAGAGAATAACTTGAGTTCAATCTCCAGGACTCACATGACAGGAGAACCAACTCCAGCAAGTTGTCCTCTACCAAACACACACACATACACACACACACACACCAACAACAATAGAAAATAAATAAATGTAAAAAAATGATTTAAAGACCAAGAAATGGGGTGCTGTGATTTGTGGGAGAAGGTGACTAGAGAAACATTCAGAAAACTGTGATCTAGCCTGTTCTGAGATTGTAGTCTGGGGCCCCATGATGTCAAAATAACTTTCAATGGACACATGCACAGCCCCAAGCAAGGAACTTGATGACTTCAACCAGTTCGAGCTAGGCAAAGCTACATCCAAACCCGGATGGAAGAGAGCAAAATAAACAATTGTCATGCCCCCCCCATCTGTGCTTAGGCTAAAGGGATGACGACATGGATTTGGCTTTCCTGAGTCATATGGGAAGCCAATGCAGGAGGCTGAATATTTTAGGTCAGCCTGGAACAAAGAGCTATGCCTAGGTTGGCCTGGTTGTACAGACCCCAGCCACCTGAGAAACTGAGGCAGAAGTCCAAGCCTTGCCTGGGGTACATAGTGAAATCTAAGCCAGCCTGGACCGTTTGGTGACATTCTATTTCAAAAAACAAAACAAAAGGTCTAGAAGGGCTAGAGAAATAACCTTTTGGTTAAGAACACTGACTGCCCTTCTGAAGGACATTTTTCCAGACAATTCCCAGCACCCACATGGCAGCTCCAAATGTCTATAACTACATTTCCAGGGGATCTGACAAAACACCAACGCATATAAAATAAAACGCATAAATAAAATTTTAAAAAAGATCTAGAGATGGAGAGGGCTTGCTAGAATCCCCCAGTGAGGGGATAAAGGTTTGCTCCAGCAATGGTATAGTTGCCTAGAAGTCCTGGAGTCTACCTCTAGCACAGTGGGGGAGAATAAACAATAGAAAAAAGTCAAATGTTTTTCATCCTTTTTTTCATTTATATATTTCTTTTTTTAAGCTGTCCTAGAACTAGCTCTTGTAGACCAGGCTGGTTTTGAACTCATAGAAATCCGCCTGCCTCTGCCTCCTGAGTGCTGGGATTAAACGCGTGTGCCACCACCGCCTGGCTTTCACTTATATATTTCTTACAGCATATGTATATGTCAGTGTGTTCATGTGCCAAGCTATACATGCTTATGGAGGTCAGAGGACAACTTCCAGAATCATAAGGGCTTCGGATGCAATTTAGGTCATCAGATTTGGCGGCAAGCCCCATTACCTGTGGAGCCATTTCACAGGCCCACGAAAGGTCAAGGGTGTAACAGCTCTCTTGTTATAAACATAGGCCTGGTGGAACTTTAACTGGCTGAGGCCTGACCCTCCAGCAGTCACCACCCAACATCTAGGATGACTTTCTAGGACTGCGTGCCTGTACCACTTCATTTTGGGCAGGGCTGGGCTTGAACCCAAAACCTCTGGTATGCTAGGCTAGCGCTCCACCCAGGAAGGTACATCTCTACACCTTGGGGGAGGGAGAGTTGTTTACTTTGTTTTGCTGGTTGGGTTTTATGTTTGTTTTTGTTTTTTTGTTTGTTGGTTTATTTTTGGTTTTTTTGATTTTTTGAGACAGGGTTTCTCTGTGGCTTTGGAGGCTGTCCTGGAACTTGCTCTTGTAGACCAGGCTGGCCTTGAACTCACAGAGCACGCCTTGAGTGCTAGGCGTAAAAGTGTGTGACACCACACTCAACCAACTAGTGTTTAAATGCTTACTAGAAGGAGACATGGTTGGCTCATCAGTAGTGCCCTTGCCTAACATGGGAGGCCCTGGATTTTGATCCCAAATACTACGGAGGGGGAAAAAATTAACTATGGAAGGAAAATGGACAGCTGGAGACTGTTAAGAGTCTCTGGTAGCCCAGACTGGCCTCAAACTGGCTATGTAATGAAGGCCGGTCTTGAACTCATGATCCTCCCACCTCTACCTCCCGAGTGCTGGGATTCTGTCACAGGCCTCCACACCCGACTTTAAAACACTTGGATAATTTCATTACCAGCATGTGGTAATTATTATACCCATGGAGTCAGGAAGCAACAAGTGGCCCGGTGAGATGACTCAGCCAGTAGGGGCACCTGCTGTGCTAGCCTGGTGATGTGGGTTCTGCCCCCAAACCCTCGGAGAATGGAAGCTGAGAATCCACTCCCCACGATGATCGTCTTCTGACTTCACATGCGGATCTGAGCCACACTGTCACATGAACAGGGAAGGGCTTAGTTTCCCTTTCCACAAAGGAACCGTGTGTGGGCTGGGCCTTAAAACTAGAAAACTGGCAAGTCTTCAAGTGTATGAAGCCCTGGGTTCCATCCCAGCACTGAATAAATTGAATAAATCCAGCACTGGAGAGGCGGAGGGATTCAAAACCATCCTATGTGAGTTCAGCCAAGGATACATGAGACCCTCTCTCAAAATCAAAGCCGGACAGTGGTCGCACACGCTTGTAATCCCAGCCTTCGGGACACAGAGGCAGGCGGAGCTCTGTCAGTTTGAAGCCAGCCTGGTCAGCCAGGGCTGTTCCACAGAGAAACCCTGTCCCAAAAAAACCAAAACAGAAAAAAGATCAAAGTGACAATCCAAGCCTGGAAGCAAGGGTCCCCCAACACAAATCTTCCACCTGCAGCACCTCAAAAATCAGGCATGGTGGTGCCCACTTCTAATCCCAGCACTGGGTAAGTGGAAGCAGGAGGATCAGGAGCTCAAGGTCACCCTCAGCAACACAGTTGGAGGCTAGCCTGTGCTACACTAAGACCTTGTCTCAAAACAGAAAAAAGCCAAAGGGACTGGAATGGGAAAGTCCAGGTGTGGCCCTTTGGCGGTTTGGTTCGGTGTGGTGCAGGTTTAAGACATTCCAGGGCTGTGGGAGGACTCTAGGGAGGAGGCTACAGACTGGACCTGTAAGACCAGAAAGGTTCAGCAGTGGGGGAAAGGACATTCCAAGCTTAGGGAAGGGACAAGGGCAGAATGGTGACACCTGCAGAGTGGCCTATACAGAGCAGGCCAGCCTGGCTGCTCCGGGAAAGGGAGACAGAAGGGGAAGAGGTTGGTGACAGCCTCAGACCTGGTTGCCATCGTGGTAGTGCACAGGAGATTGAGACAAGGGGGATAGCCTTGAGCTTGATGATAAGTGTGGGCTGTATACTGTGTCTCAAAAACAAAGGGCTCAAGCATGGTGGTCCCCAGGTTAGAGTTAGTTCTGACTTTTACAATCCTCTGAAATCACTCTGGAGACAGGGTCTCAAGTAGACCAGGCTAGCCTTGAACCTACGGTGTACTGGGGGATGGCATTCAAGTTCTAATCCTCTTGCTTCTGCCCTTGGTTTACTTGGGGCTAAGCATGGAACCTGGGGTTTCTGGCACGCAGGGCACACTATCCACTGAGCTACATCCTCAGCCCTGAAAGCGCTTCAACTTCTTACTACATCAAGGTCCCCCTGGGACCCCCAGCCATCCCTCCAGCCCTGTCCCATCCACAGATACAGAGCAGACCTTTCCTGTACACAGGTACCATTTATTGTAGAAAATAATAATAATTACAGCTGTGAATAATAGACCTTCTTAAATTACAAAACAAGAAACCGCAGAGAAAGCAGGGGAGTCCGGGGAGACTCCCTCTTGCAACGCCATTGCCAGGATACCTTCGGCAGACTGGCCAGGGTCCTTGAAATTGACAAGGGTAGGGAATTCAGAGGGGCCGGCTCAAGAGGCCCAGGGTCCTGCTGAGGAGGGAGGGGGTGCAGAGAGCAGGACCTTTAGCAAGACAGTACCAGAAAGGGGTGGGGACAGCCTGGGCTGCTTCTAGGTTCCCCGCACCAGCACTCCCCAAACCAGTTTAATCCACCTCCGCCCTTCCCTCAAACCCGTCCATCCACTCCACAGAACTCCTTTTGGAGGGTGGGTGGGTGGGTAGGGCCCAGTCGTTGTCAGTCAGTCACTGGGGTTCCAGGGCAGAGTCCATCCGGCTCTCAAGCCCCCTCATCCAGGCATCCCGCCACAAAGCTCCAGGTAGGGCCAGGTGTGCTCAGAAACATGGGGCCTAACGGCATGAGTAGCGCCGGAGTAACAGATGCGGGCAGAGTGAGGAGGCTAGGAAAGGGTCAGCGCAGGTGCCAGCATGAGCAGGACCCCACCGGAGGGCCAAAGTCACAGCTGAGCTGTCCCGGCCAGCAGGACCTAGCTCCCCGCTCCACGGCGGTACCCAGCAGCTTCTGCCTCCTCCAGCCCTGTACCCACGAGCAATTTGAACCGAGGCAGCAAGGAAACACTTTTGCTTTCGTCCTTGCCGGAGTAAAGGAGCCTTGAGATGTGTCCAAGCGGGGCAGACGGCTCCCCCGAGGGCTCCTTCAGCACGATCCGGGCTTGCTGTCCCCAGCAGTTAGTGGCCCCGAGCAGGGCAGGACCCGAGGGAAGTCAGGAGATCACAGGCTGTTATGAACTCAGTCCGAGGATGAAACAAGGGCGATGGGGACGCAGCAGAGTGGCCCACCTTACACATAGTTGCTGGCGGGAGCAGAGCGGGCGGCGGAGTACTTCGCGGAGTAGGGCTTGTCGTTGCTGCGAGGTGGGCAGTTGCAGCAGAGGAGGCCTCCTCCCAGGAGCAGCAGCCCCGAGGCTGCCCAGCCGATGTAAAGCGAAGCTCCCATCTCCCTTTTCTGGCCGGCAACCACCAGAGGATTGTAGAAGTCGCGGATGACGTTGTGTGCGGTCCAGGACACAGGCACCATGGCCAGCATGGCTGCCAAGATGAACACCACGCCCGCCCCGATCATGGTCTTGGCCTTGGTGGTCTCGTCTTCCATGCAGTTGGTGCACTTGCCCCCGACCACTGAGAGAAGCATCCCCACCGCCGCCACGAGGATGCAGACGACCATGAGGGCTCGGGCGGCCTGCAGGTCCTGCGGCAGGGCCAGCAGCGAGTCGTACACCTTGCACTGCATCTGCCCGGTGCTCTGCACCACGCAGTTCATCCACAGGCCCTCCCAGCTGGTCTGCGCCGTGACGATGTTGCTGCCGATGAAGGCGGTCACCCGCCACATGGGGAGCGCACAACTCAGGATCGCGCCCAGCCAGCCCAGGACCGCCAAGGCGATTCCCAGCACCTGTAGCCCCATGGACGCCATCGCTCAGTCTCTGCAGGGATCAAGGTTGGAGACCACAAAAAAAGTATACCTCTTGCTCTCTCTCTCTCCCTCTCTGGAAGCTATAGAAGTCCGAGGGCTGAGCAAGCCTTTTCTGGTGAGCCTCAGGGTCACGAAGCCAGCCGGAGGAGCTGAGTCTGTTACACCAGCTACCCAGAGCCTTCCCGCTCGCACCTGCCACCAGGACCTGAGACGGCAGGTGCGGCAGTTAAAGCGCCGTGGAGGAGGGGCGGAGGCAGAGGGAGGGGTTTCAGTCCCCAGGCCTGCCTCCTGACCAGTTTCTCCGGATTCCTGAACCTAGGCCAACAAAGGCATTCTGTGGCCCCGATTTCTGGGCCCCTGAGTCACCTGCTGGTATCACAGGAAACTATCATCTCTCCCAGCCCCCCCAGGCTCATGCTGAGGTCAGTCGAGAGACAGACACTGAGTCACCACCAAAAGCACCTGGGTGCTCACCGGGTGGGGACACTAGGAGAAACAAGCAGCCGAACCTATCAAGGGTTCAGAGCCGAAGGCGAGGGTCCCCAAGACTCAGGTTGGGCTCCAGTGCGGCAAGAAAATGGAGACTTCCCAGGGAAATCTGAGGATAATGCCTGGGAACGTCCAAGACAAACCCTGTCTTAGTGTTGCTTTTACCCTCTCAATTTTATCACTGCCGTCATGGCTATTATTGTCATTAATGTGCCAGCCGGCACCTGTACTTTGCCTCCACAGCAACTTTCGAACCATTAGCCAGAGGAAGTTGGTGTGGGGAAATGAGGACCTGCGGGGGTGAGGGTTGGGGGCCCGGCAGCCAGATCACCTGCTGTCCTCATTTCCCCACCCAGCCCCAGTGCCTCGGGGTTTAGAGGTGAGGCACGTTGGGCCAGGACAAGAGGCACAGAAAGGCTGACGACAGGATTCAGTGGGTAAAGGTGCTTGCTGCCAAGCCGCAAGGACCTGGGTTTGATCCCTGAGACCTAGGTGACAGGAGACACCCATGTCCTCCGGTACACAAATGCAATGAATAAGTACATGTAATTTAAAATTGGAGGTGGTAGCAGTGACAAAATCCTGTCCCCTCTTCCTTCCTGGGACTGAGCGTGCTTGGTCAGAACTGGGTGAAGAGGACTTAAAACCCCTACCATGCTATAGAAAGACGACTCATCCTGTAAGCTGGTGTTTACTCTTCCAAGTCAGGGGAGCCATTTCCATGAAAGCCAACCAAGAGAAAGGGGCCCTGCCGGGCGGTGGTGGCGCACGCCTTTAATCCCAGCACTGGGAGGCAGAGGCAGGCGGATCTCTGTGAGTTCGAGGCTGGGCTGGACCGATAGCCTCCAAAACAATACAGAGAAACCCTGTCTCATAAAAACCAAAAAAAAAAAAAAAAAAAAGGAGAGAGAGAAAGGGACCCTCCAACCAGGGACGCAGACAGGAGACAGGGAGCTCAAGAGAGAAGTGTGCTCCCTTCCAAGGGACTGTGCAAAGCGGCAGGGACTGGGTCAAAGAGGACATCTGAGGGAGGGGACATCACGAAGGTGGGGGCCAGATGTTTTGCAAGACAAGGAATCTAGTTTGACCAGAGACTGGCCTAGGGGGGTGGGGGTACAGAGGAGAAGTCTCAAAAGCTCCCTCACCCCCACCCTGCCTGGATGCAAAGGACAGCGATGATCAGGTCTTTCTGAGGACAGGCTGAGACCGGATCGCGTGAATCCCAAAGGCATCTGGGAAATGCAAGAAAGGGGGAACTGGAAGAGGGTGTCATTGATGTAGACCCTGATCAGCCAGATCTGGGCTCCTTTTATCTACCCTGGCCTGGTGGGGCACGCCTCAGTCATGTATGTGTGTGTTGTCTTTTTTGTTTGTTTTGTTATTTTCTTTTTTTTTTTCTTTTTTTTTTTTTTTTTTGGTTTTTCAAGACAGGGTTTCTCTGTGGCTTTGGAGGCTGTCCTGGAACTCACTTGGTATCCTGGAACTCACTTGGTAGTCCAGGCTGGTCTCGAACTCATAGAGATCCACCTGCCTCTGCTGGGATTAAAGGCGTGTACCACCAACGCCCAGCTGTTTAGTTATTTTCAATACAAGGCCTCTCTGTGTGGCTCTGGCTGTCCTGGATCTCACTCTGTAGACCAGGCTGGCCTCGAACTTTATGCCACCACTGCTTGGCTTGTGCTTTTCTTCTTACCAGGCCAAGTAAACACCACAAAGACCAAAGCTTCCACAGATCTTCCCTGATAGTATGCTGGGCTGCCTGCAAGTCCAGTTCCGACCCAAACAGCAGAGTCTTTTGTTTTGGTTTGGTTTGGGTTTTTTTTTTTTTTTTTTTTGGTTTTTTCGAGCCAGGGTTTCTCTGTGGCTTTGGAGGCTGTCCTGGAACTAGCTCTATAGACCAGGCTGGCCTCGAATTCACAGAGATCTGCCTGCCTCTGCCTCCCGAGTGCTGGGATTAAAGGCGTGCACTGCCACCACCTGGCTTCAGAATCCTTTTAAATATTTCCTTTTAGTCCCTGTATTTGAGGTTGGTGGTCTCAGGATGTAGCCCAATCTGTCCCCAAATTCTCCATGCTTCTTCCTTATCCTCCTGGTGCTGGGCTTACAGGTGTGCACAACTGTGTGCAGCGGATGCATAGTCCTCCATTCTTTTGTTTTGGTTTTTCGAGACAGGGTTTCTCTGTATTGTTTTGGAGGCTGTCCAGGAACTGGCTCTTTGTAGACCAGGCTGGTCTCTAACTCACAGAGATCCGCCTGCCTCTGCCTCCCAAGTGCTGGGATTAAAGGCGTGTGCCACCAACGCCCGGCTAGTCCTCGATCTTAAAGAAGACCCTCTTCTGTCTTCTGTCATGCCGTGTGGCCCGTGAGTTCATTGGAGACTGACTCTGAGCCACCTGATGAACCCCAAGGTTAGAAGGATCAAAGAAGCAGGTGTCCTCTCCAGGCTACAAGTGCAGCCTTGAAGATGCGCTTCCATGCCCCTTTCTGACCTGGGGGCTCATGGAGCCTAGAGCAATGGTTTATTCAAGTTAAATGCTCCAGCTAGGTGTGGCAACCAATGCCTGTGACCTCAGCTTTTGAGAGAGGACTGTCACAAATTCAAGGCCAGACTGGGCTAACTGGCTAAACTGTGTTCCAAAGAACAAAGTTATCTAAACATGAGGGTAATTCCAGCACTGGGTAGGCTGAGGCAAGATGAGACCAACTGTTGGCATGAAAGCTTCACCAGCAGCCAGTGCAACACATTTCCACTGCGGCCGAATCCCTCTATCCGCATGCTCCATGCACCTATAAAGTCCACCATCACAGCGTGTGTGTGTGTGTGTGTGTGTGTGTGTACGCGCGCGCGCGCGTGCGCGCGCGTTTCGAGGCAGGGTTTCTCTATGTAGCTCTAACTGTCCTTGGACTAGCTCTGTATACTAGACTGGCCTCCAACTCACAGAAATTGCCCGCCTCAGCCAGGTGTTGGAAGCACACACCTTTAATCCCAGCACTCAGGAGGCAGAGGCAGGCGGATCTCTGTGAGTTCGAGGCCAGCTTGGTCTACAGAGAGAATTCCAAGACAACCTCCAAAACAATACAGAGAAACCCTGTCTTGAAAAGCCAAAAAGAAAGAAAGAAGGAAGTTAGGAAGGAAGAAAGATCGCCTGCCTCTGCCTCCGAGTGCTGGGATTCCGCCAGGCTTGTTGAGACACTTTCACCAAAAAAAAAAAAAAAAAAACCTTTCACTGACTACAAATCTGAGACCAGCCTCAGTTCATGGCAAGACTCTGTACCACTAATAATGATAATAATAATGAGGGCTGGGGACATACTTCCATTGCCATTATGCTTACATAGCATGCTCCAGCCCCAGGGGTTCCCATCCATGGCACCACATAGGCTTGACATGGTGGTGCACACCTGTAACCCCAGAACTGCAAAAGAGGAAGGGAGAGGATCAGACGTTCAAGGCCACTCTAGGGGCACATGAGACGGTGTTCAAAAGCAATGAGAGCCGGGCGGTGGTGGCGCACGCCTTTAATCCCAGCACTTGGGACACAGAGGCAGGTGGATCTCTGTGAGTTCGAGACCAAGTCTGGTCTACCAAGCAAGTTCCAGGACAGTCTCCAAAGCCACAGAGAAACCCTGTCTCAAAAAAACCAAAAAAAAAAAAAAAAAAAAAAAGCAATGAGAAGGGTTGGACGTGGTGGCACACATGTCTTTACCCCTAGCGCTCAGGGAGCAAGAAAAAGAAGGGAGGGGAGAGAAAGGGAAGGGAGGGGAAGAGAGGAGAAAATGAGAGAACAAAGACAAGAGTGGTGGCGGCCTCACTCAGGAGGCAGAGGCGGGAGAGTCACTGAAGGCTGAGAGCAGGCACCTAGGTCTCCACCAGGGAGTCCTGTGCAAGCCAGAGGCAAGACCCTGTCTCAAAATCAAAGACTCAAAAGCAAGTTCAGTACTCAGCGCGGACATGCACACAGTAGGTTTGTGGAGAACGGTGAATTCGGAGTGTATGAGGCATCATCTCTCCTGTTTCCAAGGAGGTGCCTTCCTGCACCTCCCCCAGGTGGGAGCCACCCCAGCAACACAAACAGGGATGGTTTCTGCCTGGATCACGCCTCCGGACGGACTTTCCATACAAGGCTCTGAGGACTGCAAAGGCTTCGGGCTAAATAACGACAGAGATAAGCACTGGTCTTAACCAGAAGTGCTTTCCTGCCCATGAATGACCTCACACCAGACTCCCAGTCTGCTGCAAGATTCCGGGGGCGCTGGCCCCAATGAGCAAACTGAGGCCGGGGGGAGAAGCCTTGTACAGACGCCTTAGCCAGGTTTTCCCTCCCTGTTTTCCCGGCCCAGGTCGTCTGGCAGGAAGCAGATGGCCAGCAAGCCGGACCCTCACCCCTACCATCCTGCCCTCCCTACTTCCGGCTCTCACTAAATTGCACTGGGAGAAGCAGGGATGGAGGAGGGGAAGCATAAAAAGCCCTAAAACTTTCCACCTGTGTCCTAAGTGACTAAGAAGTTCAGCCATCCACACAGAAACAGGAAGCAGGAAGGGCTGGGGCTTTGGGGGGAAGAACAGGTGTTCACGGGTCTCGGGGGCAGAGGTGGTCAGCCGGGGAAGGCGAAACTGATGGAGCCAGCCGAGCAAGACAAACAAAAGCAATAGCCTGGGAGGACATCCAGACCCGGAGGGGGGTGGGTGGAAGAGAGGGATCGGAGCATTTGATGGATAGCCGAGAGTCAGGTG